AAAAAAAAAAAAAAAACTGAGGCGAGCATGTCTGCGGCATTCACGAAGCTGGTGAATGCTCTCATCGTTAGGAACTTGAACGAGCTTGACTCGTGCTTTCTTGCTTACGGCTTTTGTGCGCAATATGACTCCATCCATAGTTGCGTTAGAGATCCTCAGGCCGAAGAGCGCTACGAGGTCGCACTGCAAGCGTGCGACGAGTGCGAGTCCCAGTCGGCGACTGTCCAGATGCACTGCCGCGAGGATACAGTATTGAACAAGGTATCTACCAGTGGACAGTGACCTCACAGATCAAGTGCTTCACCTCTACCTCAAGAGCCAAGGGCTGAGCAAGTTGCATTGCGGCTGTAGCGTGGGGTTTCAGTGTTGCAGTTGCTGCAGCGAGTCAACGGGATCGGCTTCCACATCGCTGAGGTCCTCACGAGCAACCCCCATCTGGTTCGCACGAGTCTGCCGTGCATCGTGAGCTCTTGGACCACGAGCAGGGCCCTGAGAAACCCTTGGGCAGAACCTGTCGTGGGCAGCGACAGAGTTTCGAAGGTACCGCATGCACCGTGAGTGAGGTGCATGTACCGTGTGAAGGGCCACACGCTGGCAGCGCAACTAACTCTGGATAGGCCTCGCATGACGGAAGTCCTAGGCTTTTCCAGCCATTCTTGTCTCGGATACAGCACAGAGGTATAAACGTTGGGATGTCGATACGGCAGTGCAGACTCTTTCCATGTGTCTCCATCGCCAAGAGCTGAGATCACGCATCCTTTTGCAGAGCCTGGCCCAACACAGATTGACTCTAAGGCATTGAGAATGAGCCAAGTGCAGACAGCAATGAGGCCAAGTCAGATTGTAGGGCAGGTCAGGATACTTGCAGAATGGCTTGTGACGGCCCATGCGCCAGGCTGGGCGAGCTGCAGCATTGAAGCAGGAGACTGCTTTCAGCCGATCTGGAGAGTCAAACAAGGTTCACAGAAGAAGCTGTTCTGTGGAGGGGCGGGGCGCGGGTGGTGGCGGAGGGCAGGAACCTCCAACCGTTGGCTTCAACATTTCCTCCGCATGTTAAGCCGATGGGTTGCTGCCGTCTCTCTGTTTCGATCCGGATATGATCTGGTTTTGCTCCGGAACTCAGCAGAGCCCAACAGCTGCGAGCTTGCCGCTATCAGCTTGTCTCCAGTGATGTCTTCTTGCCAGGAGCTTCGCAGGATCTTGCAAAGGTGCACTCCTCAGGGGGTTTGCTTGGCAACCCAACACCCTGTACGGGGTCGCGCTGCGTGAAGGATGGTTTCATTCGAGAAGATCCTGCAAGTCTCCGACGGACGCTGGCAAGTGTGGCAGGACACGGTGCACTTCAGCTTCATGTTCCCTGCTGGCCATTTCACACTCTGTCATTCCAAACCAGGAGATAGAGGACATGAGCAAGATGCAGGCAAAGTGAATCCTGGTGGTTCTGTAGCAGGTTATTCTCATCGCGAGGTCGTGGGGGGCAGTTGAGTTGTGGCAAACCCGTAGCACGCACAGGCCTTTCCAGAGTGGGGCCGGCTGAACAGTCAACTGGCTTCCTCTCCTTTGAGCTTCAGGATGTCCACGGTTTCTAGTTCCGCTCGAGGGATTCTATGATTAATATATGCCAGACCTCTATTTGACACCCTCGGTGCTGAAGTCGTGACTGCGGTCTTAGATGCTTTCGACAATGGCCATGGATATGCTGCGCTGGCTGCTACGCAGGTTGGAGAGGCTGTGGAGCATCTCCTGTCCTTGCAGCAGCATGACATGGCTCGCACACTCGTTCTGAGCTTAGTTAATCAGCGGATGAAGGAAATCCAGCAGCTGCCACATCCAGACTTTGCGGCACATTATTCCCCTGAGGCCCAGATGTATGGCATGACAGATCCCTTGCACTCCCTGGAACTGTCAAGATTGCACTATTTGTTCACTACGTGGCTTGGCAGCATGGCACTGCTTCGTGACTCCATCAGCATTTGTCTAGTTTGCCTATTTCGATATGCGAAGGATTGCACTTGTTGCGAGTGATGGTTTCATGAAAGAAGCAGCATCGTCTGTCTGCCGGCGTATTTGCATCATTCCAGGAAGCATGACAAGACGAATGCGGTCAACAGGCAGGGTGTGAAAGAAGTGAGCTTAGCCACCTTGTGTCCGCTTGCCAAAGGAGCTTTGATGGTTTCTTGCTGTCGGAAACGAATCCACATGATGACATAGCTTTGCAGCTCAAGCCGTCGCCCTGATGGCAAGAGCACCCGCAGATAGTGAACCGGAAGTCCACCTTTGAAGCCCCTTGGAACCGCAGAGATGCTCTGAAAATCCTCGGGCAAAGCGGACTCCACGGCTCTTCGGATCTCTTCGCAAAGAGTGGTAGGGCCTGCTTAGCAATTCTTGCAAGGTCCAACAGCACCATTGGACGATTTGATGCTTAGACAGCGGCTTGTCTCAATCAGGGTAATCGTCGCTGCATGGTCCCGCTACTGACTAGTTACTAGTTGTAACAGATCGTTGCCAGGGCCCCTCAGGGAGATGTGTTACGTTTTTGTGTCGTTTCCACTGCTGGGCTGCAGGATTTGTGCACGACTCGGATTGGGTTACATGAATTGGTTGGTTGCGGGGGCAGGCCCAAGTTTAGCTTAGCCGCTTAGACATTGCTTAGCTTTGGAGCGGCGATGGCTCGATGTCGAGACGGGGTTGTTGCCACAGCTACCTCAGGGCCTAATAGCCGTACACAAAAATCAAGAATGCTTGAAACAAGCGCAGACTTCAGATCGTGTGTAGCCTGGTGGAAGCCAGAGGACGGAATGTCACTTCCTACTGCGTTTTGGGACTATCTCAGGCGACACGTTGGCATCGCACTGTCGCTTCTGGTTTTTGGACTCGAGCGACACACGGCTGCAGCATGCACGCAGGCATCAGCGCAAAGGCATATCGCCAGAAGGCGAGGACAACACGGTCCGTGCCTGAAGCTACTCAGGTGCCGCAACTGGCAATGCAGATGAGTTCGAGGCCGAGGATATGCACAGAGACTGGGTTCAATATAGAGAAGATGCGCGTTGTGCTTATGACTTATGTCAGTCGAACACGATTTCATTTCTGGTCTGGTAAGATCGGAATCTCTGAGTGATTGGTGCGCATGTTTCTGTTGCATAGTCCAAGCATTTTGGGATTGAAGCTCGGACAGCGTGAACTCCAGAAGTTGTACTGAGTCCACGTGACGATTCGAGGCGAGTGCTTATCCTTGATCCAAAGAACGGCCGGTCTCAAGGACAGGCTCGGAATCAGCACTGTGCCCTCCCAGCACGAGGTGGGGTCCTTTTTGCTTGTCCACGAAATCTGGTCCTGATAGTATTGGCTTTCCATGAGGCTCACCAAGATGGCACGCTTTTTCAAAAAGCGCTGGTGGTTTCGATTGGTTCAGGCCTCAGTCTGAATATTTCAGCTTGGATGCCGGTTATTCGCAGCAGGGAATCCAGAGAAGCCCTTCATCTGAGAACCCGAGAAGTACACCGTCACTGCACAAGAGCTCAAGGACCTTCGGTTTTTGCGCCGTGATGATGCATAGCGCTACCTCAACATTCGTTGCCCTCTGGAGGACATGGGTGTTCCAGCAGAGATGGTGTCTCCCGGCCGCAGCGAGTACCCTGCAACTTGAAACCAGCATCAGACCTTGCACATACGTCTCGTGGCATACCTTACCGGGTCTCAAGCTTCGCATCAACAGCAAGTCCAGGCGCGGCTACGATGGAAAGATGCCATCAGAGGCAGGCTGAATCATTCAGACAAGGAGCTCAAAATGCTAGAGACCAAGCTGCCGGTACTCGGATAGCTCTATCAGTGATCAGTTGCAGGCAGCCTCGTTTCATGTCGGACGTGACATCACCCATTAATGACATCGTGTTGGGCGCAGGTCCTTGAAGCGCTGCAGCTCTTGAAGGAGCCGCCTTCTCAGAGGGCGGGTCAACTTCGCGTGCTGGGATGCACTCGTTCTGACTATCAGCCTGCTTTTGCTGACACTGGCAGGTATGGGAATGCCGCCAGTCTGCATTCCACCGTCAGCAATTGGATGGTGTGCATGCACACCTCTCCGGGGAAGCCCCCAAACCTTGGCGAGCAGCTCAAGATCGACGATGTCATATCGACCGACCCCCATTTGCATGAGAAGTCCTGAGGTGCAGCTATGTCTGAGCTCTGGAGCAACCTGTTCAGAATGTCTCCAAGAAACGTCGACGAATTGCTTCAGCACGATCATCACGGGTGTGTGCCGAAGGTGCATAGACTCTGACGGTTTGTCGTCTTTCAACCGGGAGTGGGGTGTTTGCTTTGCTATGCTACTAGGTCATAGCGATTGCTGCAGCTCATGTGCGACTCTGGCGTGATCTTGCCAGCGGAAATCTTCCCACTCAGGGAGCAAGCTTAGAGGGTGCTCAGCTCAGTGTGAGATGCTGAGAAACAAGTTGGTTGACAAGTAGGAACGTGCTCGACTCTTTCTCGAAAAACTGCAGGTGGCTCGGACCCCTGGTATCTCGTCATGGAGGACGACGTGGTCTTCTGCCCTGGCTGGCGCGAGCGGATGCAGCGAGAGCTCCCCATGGCTCCAGCTGACGCCGAGGCGCTAAGCGGGCCCAGCGCTCCCCTCTCAGACTCTCGACAGATCTTTCTGCAGGTGATCAAGCTCTTCTTTTTTGGACACTGGCGTGCAGAAGACCAGGCCAGCCATGCTAGCCATCTCGGGAGGTGAGACGATCTTCATTAGTCCTTTCTAGAAGGCCGGACTTCGGGCCCGTTGCAGGTGGGCAACAGCTCCTTGCCAGGGCCGTTTCTGGAGGCCAAGGATCCATTGCGTGGCTGGGACCTGGTGACATCGGCGTTGTACGAGCTTCTGCACGGCGCATCGCGGTGGCAAAGAGGGCAAACATGACAATACTGTCTACTCTGTGTTTGCACTTGGGCTCGAGGCTGGTTGGTCCAAAGTTCCGGCTGCTGGATTTTATGCGGGAACGCAGGCATACCTCATCCGCCCATCTGGCGCTCGAAAGCTGCTGGAATTTCGGACCACTCAACAGTACTGTAGGAGAAAAAGTATGCTTGACCTTGCTGCGGCTGATTGGGGATATGGACTTCAGACACGCAGCCGGAGCCAAGGAGAATATCCGTGGCAAGCCTTTCCAGGACATCGACATGACAATGATGAGTAGCGACTCTATGCGGCAAGAAGCATAGGCATTAGAGTATTAGAGTCATCCGTAGTGGCTGTCAGAACGAGGTGAAAAACTATGTGTGGCGCAGAGTGTTGGTGAGAGATCGACCCGCCGACCCGAAGCCAGTGAGCCTTTTGCAGACAGTCCCAACCTGCAATGCTGAGCCGCCGAAAGATCAGTTCCGATGAATCTCGGAACTTGTCCGAGCTCGAAGAAATCTGCCGAGCTCGAGCTTCTAGCAAGGCCGAGTCTCGCAAGCTCCAAGCATAAATTAATGTCGAGCTGCCGCAAGAGTCGCCGCAATCTGGTAAGTCCACAGATCGTTTCACTTTTGGAGGGTATAGAGTACAACAGCCGTGTTACAGTCGCCGGCATCTGCGGCAACTTTCGCTCCTTGCTGCTGGAAGATGTAGTTTCACATGCTATGAGTTGGGCAGGGAATCCTGCGGATTACAAAAAGCTGCAGCATGGCTCATACCCCTCGTGCTTTAGTCGGGACTGCCCGGCTCTTTGTCTTCAGCTTTTGGCAGGCTGCTGTCACTGCCACCTTCACAAGCAGTCTCGTTTGCACTGCAGCTCCTGGATATGCCGCGCACTCAAGTACGAGACGTGTGCTTTCCACAGATGGCATCACTCGCTGGGCAGTCCAAAGTCCGTTCACAACGCAGGTTCGATGTCATTCAGCACCGAGCTCTTCTCTGCCAAATGCTCTTGAAACAACTCCAGTCCTGGTTGACGCCTGGGGAGGCGCTCGGGTTCACAGAGTACGAGACTGATCCTGTGGCATCCTGCTGCTCTGTCCATTGGCGCGCGAGGAAGAGCGCTTGCGAGTACTGCTGGCATCGCTGCAACTTCTGGGTGAAGTTAGTGAGACGATGCGGCCACATTTTCTGAAGCTCCTCAGGACGAAGAGTGCACAGTGGCACAGGCTGCTCTGATGGTGAACATCTGGCATCCCCTCACAGGAAACCGGAACTCATCGTCGAAAGCCTGCTCATGAATGCGTCGTTCTCTTATCTTCGTGGTCGGCAGGTGCAAGACAAGACACGGCTTGCGAGATTCTCAGGCGCGTCGACCTGCTGAAGAAATTCCTCGAAGATTTTCCAGAGCCAGGCACCTACAAAGGATACGTCGAGTGCAGACCCTGCCTGTGTCGTAGCGTACCATAGCGGCAAAGCAGAAGCAAAGGTATCGGCACGACGAACTCATTCTGCGGTACGCACGAAAAGCTTTGGCACTGCAGTCGTCTTCTCAGACTCCAGCTTCTTGACTGCATTTGGTGAGCGATTCCCTACGTTTGCTCAACCTTCAGGGTTTAAGGCCTGTCAGCTTCTGTGACCGTTCAACTCAACGAGACGCATCACCAAGAAGAACCATTATGCTAGGCAGGTCCTTTGCAGCTGATGTGTGCAATGCCACCGAAACTGGCTTGGAAAGTCTGAGGTTCTGACAGACGACGCAGTCGAGGTGTCGGTCGCCTTCAGCATGGCATGATAGGAAGCCACAGAGAGTACAGAGTGCTGGACAGGAAGACGAGAACGACGCGGAGTCAAGGCACAATGGTCAGCGCACAGACGGTGGTCTCTTAGGGAGTGGATGGTGAAGTGTGCAATGCATGAGTAGTACAGTACTTGCAGAGACCGCGGCCATTGCCAGATTGGAAGCTACTGCCTCCCCTGGTCACAGAGCACATCAGGCAAAACGCAGCACGAGTGTTTGTGTTTGACTGGTTTCTTGTCGTTTGCACTGCGCAGCTCAGCAAAGATAGAAAAGTGCTTGAACTATTGTTGGAGGCTGAGGATGAAGGCCTTGGCGGTCCATGGTGCCTCACTGGTTCCTCTCGGAAGGCCGGTAGGGAGGAAGCCACGGGTGAACAGGTGAACATAGAGACCGCGCGAACAGGACTTGGAGATTCGAAGGAGGCATCACTTCGAAGAGGCTCGGGGGCCTCCGCTCCATGCCTGCTGGCCCCACTTGGTGCAGATGTCCGGCTTCCCGCGCTCAGGCACCCAACAGTGGTCTGACAGAACGGATCCTCGAGCCGCTCGGCTTGCGCTTGCGGGGGAGCATGGGGCCCTTGTCTGCGGGAACCAACTCCGGCAGGCTGTGCTCCGACAGCCCCGACAACGCTGCAGCATGCTGGACTCTTAGACTCTAAAGCACTCTAACGCTCTGTGCACTAGGAAGCTGATTTCGCAGATTACATCTGGCCGCGCAAAGGTTTCCACATTTGTGACGAGCTTTCCCTTCGACTGTATGCATCACGCTCGGTTTTTGCAGTTGCCCGGGGCAGGTGAGTTGCGAGCTAAGATGTTGCATTGACTCCGAAAGGACCTTACGCCAAAGTCCGGTCCAGGGAAGACCCTGGCCACCGCAACACCCTGGCAGCTTGGGTCCTGTTTGCCAATTTCCGGCTCGGTTTAGGAGCGAACTTTGTTTCTGCCACGAGGCCTGGTACCCCTCTAACATCTGTCCGGCTCCTGACGTGAGCGAGCTCGGGTTGCACATCCTGGGCACAAACAGAAAGAAGCGTCGAGCGCCAGCTTCTTCGTTGGGTTGTGTGAAGGTTTTTGATTCGACGACTGCTGAGCTATCTCCAAGGAAAGCCTTGGACTGAGAGTTTGCTACATCAACGCTGCGATATGGCAATGCACCATGCTTGCCAGCATATTATCAGGTTTGCAGGCGCCGGGGCAGAGGCGCGATGAATTGTCCAAGAGTGGTGGTACTTGCTGAAGCATTCTGGATCAGCTGGATTGCGATGATTCGAGAAGCGCAGAACAGTGGTTGAATGTTTAGAAGACGCGCATGAACGATCCTCACTACTGTGAAGAGGTTCAGCTGAAGCTCGAGAGAAGTCTGAAGAATCTTGACTTCATTCCACGTCTTTGGCATGCCTGAAACTCAGCTTGGCTGTGAGCCAACATCGGTGAAGGATTTGGCAACGCATTTCCAGCTTAGCTCTCAAGAGCTCCAGCCGGACAACAGAACAAGCTGTTTGCAAGCTGGCACACTCGGAGAAGCGACCATGCTCAGGTCAGCGGTCGCAAGGCCTGATGGGTCAAACCTTGTTGCATGGACATGCCTGCGTGCTTCTTGTGCCATGCACCCTTGAGGGCTCGGTTTTGGAGGGAACAGACTCTACACGTTGATTCATCCAACGCAGTGTACAGTGCTCAAGACCGCAGATTGCTTTGTTCGCAAGCGATGGCGGACATAGATTGGAGACTTGGCGAGTTAACCTGCATGCATTTTGTGGCTCGAATCGCCCTGGCTGTGCGACTGTAGAACTTGCTAGCGCCTTGCTGTTCCAAGGGATGGTGATTATTTCGATCTGCCAAAGGAAAAGTTTAATGCGATGACAGCAGGCCAGCGACTGGATCATTTTGCGAAGAGGATAGTGAAGCATGGGAGACTCAGATGCAAAGGATCAGAGGAGAAGTCCTGCTCGTCTTCGGACGGACTGATCCACCGCACTCCCTTGTGTGAAGCTCTTTGCAAACACCATAGACGCACAACAATCTAGGGCAAGCCGGAATTAATGACAAGTCATCTTCAGCTAAGCAAGCTTCTGCGGTGAGAAGCACTAACCGAGGATGGAACGACCTGCACTTGTCTACAGGCTCGACATGCAAATCGGGCGTCTGTGCTAGTGGTGTGTCGAGGTTTGTGCCGACGCGGAAGCAGGTGACATCCGCCTTGGAAGCCGCTCACGCATTGCTGATGCTGCTGGTTGACAGTGCGTACTACTAGCATCTACTAGCCGTGGTGCCATACGAAAAACAAGCTCGAGAGTTCGGCGAGAACTTGCAATCGGTGGTAGTGAACGCGAAACCCACGCCCCTCAAATCAAAGCGGTCCATGGCCGCTTGCACCCGATGTCATGTACAAAAAGTTCAAGAGAACCCTTTGTTGGGACGTGCATTCATGCATGGGAAGAGCACCCAACGGTGCACTCCGCACCGTGTAGCAAACGTGTCACAGATCAGACCGTTGCCTGTAGACCGTGAGCAAAAAACATCCAAAGACACTCACAGACTGAAAAGAGCAGTGCAAAACCGGCAGCAAGGACCCTGCACTGCAACCTACGCAAGTACTGGCACCTTCGCTCCAGACAGCAGATTACTTGTACCTGTGGCACGGCGGGCTGCAACCAGAACAGACGTTTGCGACAGGTTTCACATAACAATGCTCCTGGTGAACTACGGCGGCAACGTTGCAGCAAAGACTACTTGAGCCTGCTCGCCTTGTGAACAGGACCATACCTCGTTTCCGGCTGCACAACCAAGGGTATTTCATCCTGATCGCATTGATGCCAAGGCTTCCGCAAACCAGTCAAGGGCAAGGGTATGGGGAGACCACCATCTTACTGCTCCTGCATCTGCTGGCAAGGCCGTCTGACCTGCCTAGTTATGACTACTCCGTCCTTCTCTTCGCGAAGCTGCTGGTGAAGTCCTCTGAGCAGTATCAATCGATCGCATCGAGGCTGCACGAATCATCCAAGCAAATAACTGCTGACCAGGTTTGGCAGCACCTGGCTGAAGCCTTTGGGTGCCGACAGGGGCCGTTGAGTGGGGTGACCTTTCCAAACAATTGGATGCAACTCGGATTGATCGTGCCAGCATGATGTTGTTGATTGTGCGCATATCAGAAATTGGCACGGACACGCCCCATGATTTGAAGACAAGGTATCGTCTCTCCAAGGGTACGTTGAAGTACTCATGCTTGCCTCAGCTGGGTGGAAACAAAAGAAACGTTCCTCGTCACCTCGCTTATTGCGAACGCTTTGATAGGTGCACTGGACATTTGCAAGGCGTGCCTGACGGAGGGCTCTCCGCTACAGCTGAGGTCGTAGACAACGTGGTGCACTATCTCTTCTTCATCACTGGTTGCGGCTTCCTGCTTTGTCCCTGGTACAGTTTCTACTGCATCAGAGCAACTGGGCAAAACTCCCAGCCCTGCGTCTACCCTTTGACTGCGCAAGCGCATTCTTCAGGCTTCACGCGTGCACAAGCATGACCGCACCGCTAATTTCTGCATGCAGGCACTTTTCTTCTGCGATGAAGCCTGGCGGCAACTTCGGAGTGTAAGCATGTCTGCCAAAGACTTTACGACACTCACCACGTCCCGAACTGACGGCTTTGAGATGGTGAAAGGGCAGCGGCATAGGAATGTAGACAAGGTGTCAGGATAATTTGACTTAGCCTGAGGTGTATCTTTTCGTCTTCGCCTGCAACTTAGAGAATTGGGTGTTGCAGAACAACATCAGAAGCCCTAGATGACACGACTGTTCGCTTCGCATACGAATCCAGGACAGAACGCAGTTCTATGCTGGCACTGCTCATGCTTACGGGAGCTTTGCATGCAGCCGCGTTCGCATGCATTCCTGATTGTCACGACGATGGCTCGGTGCATGTCTGTCGAAGGAGTATGATTTTCGCTGCATGCTTTCCATTGGACACTGGCAGTTTTGCAGGAATGCAGTCTTCACCTTAGGCCTCAGGGCAGAGGAATCAAGAACATCTCACGAAGTAATGGTGCTGTGCTAAGGCTGGGATTGATTATGCAATGGTTCTTCTCAGGCTCTCCGAAGCCTCAAAGCATCCTCAAAGCTGTCACAGCCGACGGTGAAGGCATGCAGTAGGCACGAGATTACGATTCACACTCCGTCAGGGATTGGAAAGATTGGACCTTGGTTTCAGCAACGCGGCATGTGAAGGCATGCAAACTACCAGCATGTGCAAGCCTGCAGCGGTGTTGGTCTTGCCGTGCCGTCTCTGGATCGTAAGGTATGTCAACGGACCTTTCATGCTGCAGCCGCAGCCCTAGTCAGCTTGCACCTGGGGCCTCTCGGAGTCTCTTGCGTCAGTCATCGATCCATGTCGAGTTGGATGGAAGGTCAAGATGGCTGCGCGGAAGCAAGTGGCTCCGAGAGTTGTTGATCGAGTCGGAAGATAAAATGAGCCTTGGCAGGGCGAACGGATGTAAGAGGCAACATCCTTTCCGAGTAGATACTTGTATGTAGATCGTGACTTGGAGACTTGCTGGCTCCAGTTTCTGAAATTCATGAGTGGATGCGTCGGGCTGGGAACTTCAGGATGTGTGTTTGGAGACATCGGAGCTCTCCTCCTCCTACTCCTCCTCCTCCTCCCCACCCGCAACAACTCAACAAAAGATGACAGCGCTTCTGCTATCCGCAGGAAATTGGCTTAGAAAACGAATCTGACGCTCGCGCGAAGCGAGCCTGTGCATCCCGCATCATCCCGCATGTAAAGATTTTGAGTTAGTTTGAGCAGAAGATGTGCCCTTCGAGAGTGGGATTGACAGAGCGGCCGTCCTTCACGCGCACAGCCACTGGCTGTACGAAAACTTACGCTTGAAGGAGGAGGAAGTCGAGAAGACATGGCTCAGCAAGGATGCCAGGGGTTGCTTTCTGCGCACTTCCACTTCAACCCAGGGACTCTACTGACATTTGCAAAATACCCACGAAGAATTTTCGGGTTGGCAGATTCTCGCCCATTGTTATAAGGACGAAACGGAATCTGTCGCAGATAAAGTGTCAGAAGGAAACTTGCCCTTTGTTCCGTCATTTACCCGTTCACATAGGAGAGAAAGTCGCAAGTGGGGCCATAGATCCTCAAGGCACGTTGCTGACACCTTAGCGCAACATCAAGCACTGGAAGCAGATGTTGTCCTCTTAGGACACCTACGTGGTTTGGTACATGCCTAGCCCACTTTGCAGCTTTTGTCGAGTACTTCGCTCCGATTGCGTTAATGGTGCCGTCCACAGCCGAACCATGTCCGCAGACAAGGCTTTTGAGCATGCTACTCAGATTTTGGCTCGAATGTCTCGCTTGGCAAACCCTGAGGCCATTTGGCTGGGCTTGATTGGTTTGACCGCGGCTTGTTTGCACATCGACGCAACATGATGCTTCCAATTGGTGAACCAGTCAGAGTCCACCTCAGGCTATGCATGTTTACATATTGCTGACACCGGCACCGTTCGACGTGTACTCGTGGAATTTATGTTTCTGCCGTGGGCTTATCTAAGCGAATGCAGCTTTTCGGTTCCTCGATCACTTGCAACTTCCTTTCAACACTTGCTGTTAGTATGTTGATGACATTTGCCTTCTCCCCTGTGTGGTACGTCGCTGTTGGGCGTTAGGCCTCAGCGGCATCTATTTGTTTTACATCGGAAACTTTGGCTTCGACTGGGCGCCACTTTGCACGAATCTAATTGCGTAGCCTTGCACTGTGCTTTACACCCGTAGAGAATGCCACCTTGTGAGGAGTTGGGCAACCATGAATGTTGGGCTGCGGCTGTGGTTTCTGGCAGAGTTTCTATTCTGATACTGAGTGACAGATTTTCATCGCCACTCAACCACTCACTAGTTGCAAGCACTGTGTCAGGTTCTGTCTGTGCTGGTATGGACAGTTTTTTCCCGACGATGTGGGGTACTACCTCAGCCACCGATATTGGGCCGGCAACTGGGTGCTCGGCTTGCAAGTGTTTTTGAGTGGAAAATCTGTGTTCAGGTGTTCATAATGTTAAGCTGTGCTGCCCCTCTAGCTGATTGGGGCTGTGATTGGGCAAGGAATCGTTCCACCTTGACTTCCAAGTCATACAAAGAGGGACAAACACTTCAGTGCAAGCAGGGCCTGGAATCCTGGAACTTGGGTGTTAGTTCAGACGGAACCATTCGACCGGGATCCTGGACTCCCCCACGCGGCCGGCCGGTCGGACACCACGCGGGGGAGTCCAGGGTTTCGGACGACTTCCTCGCTTGGATGTGATATGGGCATCATGCAGGGCTTTTGCAGGAAGTCAAGTTTGGAACCGTCCGCGGTTCGGTTTTTTGCGGCTCCTAGCCGGTTCGGTTTTCGTGCGGCTCGGTTGTTGCGCGGTTCGGTTCCTGCAGTTCCGGTTTCCCGGTTCGCGGTTCGGTTCCCCAGCCTTCCTGTTCAGTGCCTGGGAGGCAGTGACATAGTGAGTTCATATTTCGGCAAACCTTAAAGCTCTAGACGTGGAATGAGTATCTTGGTCGAGGGTCGAAGGGATCGGATAGTGGCCGCTACCGGAAGAGACCGTTGGTCACAAGGTAAGTGTCTCATCGATGCGGAAGATCGTATGTTTTTGCAGAATAGCTACCGGAGAGTCTGATGCGTGACCCACCGACTCAGATCGCATGCTGATGGAAGAAATGAGGTGCAAACACATTTCATGGTCAGAAAGACTCAGACCGTGAAGGAAAAGCTGGACAAAGTGGATCCGTCACTTGCCGTGCACTGTTATTTGAAGCCTTTTGGATGTCGGCAGTATCCCCAGCATGCGCTCCAGACCAGACCACCAGCGGATGTCCTTTGCTTACGTCGACAGTGTGTTGAGTCGAAGGGCGGAACTCTAACTATGCAGTCGATGTCTCGGTGTGTGCATTCTATCATGTCATTGTGTTTCTCGTTATAATAAGCTGGTTCGATGGCCGAAACTCGTGTCAAGCGACGACTTCGTGACTTTTATGAGTGTCCCGAGGATTCGGTGGAGGTGCTTACACTTAGCAGGCAATGGGCTTTACTCGGGCGCGGGAACTTAAACTTTGAAGGTTTTCGGCTTTAACGCCGAGATTGAAACTGATTTAGACAGCACTGGGATTTATGCCGGCGTGGGAGGGGGAGGGAAGAAAGCAAGCAAGCAAGAGAGAGAGAGAGAGAGAGAGAGATGCAATATACTCGTTCTTCACGCCCCTTTTCATGCATAACATATGCGGGTCGGCTTGATGCCCGGGGGTCTTGACCGACCCCTATGCCCGGGAGAGGGGGAGAGAGAAAGAGAGAGAGAGAGAGAAGGTGGGTTACCAGAGTAGGAGCGAGTGTGTGGGAGCACACGAACTTGCAGTTGTTAGTACTTCTACTATTGGCCTGTTAACTTGTTGCTGTTGAGGGGCACTCACCAGGAAGCGCCCCTGCCCCCAGGGAGGCACTCGTACAGTACACAACGGCCGAGCAGCCGTGCCTTCGTACAGTCGAGCCCTTCCGGTAGAGAGATAGAGACCTGCACCCGAAGGAAGAAGAAAGATGCGCGGAAGGGTTTCGTGCCCTTGCGCACTACCTCTGTTGAAAGGCCAGGTCCAAGCGTGTCACACCCGGTGGAGGCGGTGTCAGACGGGGGACCATGGGCAATCTGCCTCTTGTGAGAGGCTCAGCCCTACAGGGATGTTTCTTCGTTCGGGGTTCCCCTTCGTTGCACTTCGGCGCATGAGCTCTTTGAGCAGGCAGTGCAGGGCCCAAGCGAAACTCACTAATCCACTTGAAACCGGGCAGACTCTCAACAGAGGGCGTGCCTCCTCACGGAGGTTCGCGACTGGGCCCTGCGAAAGAAAGAGCAAATTGGAGCAAGCAAGGGCAGCAGCGCTGGATTACGATCGGGCAACCTCTGAAAGCAGATGCTTCGGGTTCCAACCGGAGCTCCGTTCGGCCGAGGCGACTGGGCAACCCATTGAGCCTTCAACCTGCTCCATATTACATGACTTGCCTTGGATACATGCCATTTGCCTATGTTTGGCTGGCAACGATGCTCCTCGGATGCATTGTAGTAGAGCTGACTTTATTGATCTGACCTTGCTGCAATGCACTGACTGCTAAGGAACATGAAGTGCATCGTCAGGCTGATCGAAGACATTCTCAACATGGGTTCCAAGACGCACATCGATGAAGCTTGCTGGCATTCTGCTGCCACACCGGAGTTCAATTAATTGAAGTCTGCACCAACGGCATACAGTGGCATGGAGAACGACGACGGCATCACCCAGCCCACAGTTACTGTTGTTCACATGCCTTCCATGTCATCTGGCTGGGCTTTGCCGAGGACTGGGCGTTTTGCACGCTTCAAGGCTCGACGGCAGAAGAAGTTGCGACGGCCGGGCTAGCGGATAGCTCTGACAGAACCGAGTCGCGAGGCTGGCTTTGCGGCGACTTCAGGGACCAAATTTACACGGATGCAGTCATGCCTCTCATCCAAGAAGCATGCAAGTTCGATGAGGCAGAGCGCACGATGCAAGCGAAGTTGATACAGCATTCTATCAATGTTCGCTTATGCTGCTGCCGCTGTGCCGTCCAGCGCATCGCACAAGCGAACTATTCAAGTAATCTTCTCGTGACCTGATACTACACAAGAAAACAGATCCGCTCGTGCCCTTCTTCTCAAATCTTGGCTATGTCAGGGAGAATGCTATCTGATCCGGCTGGGAGCCTTCCGGATGTTCCAGCATGTCTCTTGGAGGGGAAGATTACTCTCGCCCGAATCAGCCACCGTTGCGTGTGTTGACGTGTGCTGCATTGACAAGTAGACATGACTACCCGGACAGCTGAGGAGGCGACTTGGCAGATTTACGACGCAAAAAAGGCTGGCTTGACGTCCTTGTTCATCGGCCTTGCATCGCGGAGTGCAACTTTCTGCATTTGTCCCTGAGGGCGTCGTCAGGGAAGGCAAGCTTTCGACAAAGATGATGTCAAGCATCGACAGCCATCCTTCTGCTTCCTTGGAGCTGATGTTGGGGTAGGATTGTAGGATGCCGTAGTGCTCTGTAGGACCGTAGGAGACGCGAGGAACCCACAAGTGGTGCCGACACGCGGCCATCTTGTTTCTTAAAGTTCTCAGCTTTGCGCAGAGAAGGCAGCAATTGGAGAGTGGTTCTGCATAGCTGGATCTTCTGAGCGTGGAGGTCGGCTTGGCGCAGCTTTGTGACCCGAAGAGTGCTGCGGAGCTTCGGGACGGCCTTGTGGCGGAGGAGGGCCGCTCCAAGCTTCATGCCCACCGGCACAGTGTTCTCGACTATTTCGGGCGAGAGGGACTCGTGCAGCCAGGAATGGAAGGATTGTTGTTGCTGGCTGTTGTTGGGTGAGAGCGGGGTGGCCGGGGCCATGGGAAGCTTCAGGATCATCTTGCTCTGGCGCTGGAGCTGCCAGAGCCCCGGGCAGGGCAGATCCTTTCAGACATGAAGCAAGCGATATTCCAGGTGCAAGCGCTGCAGTGGCGAGCAGCAGATCTCGAGCAAGGACTCATCTTGTTGGGCACTCGCCTCCAAGTTCCAATTCTACGCTGAGTGTCTGTGCTAGGACAAACTTGATCCTACAGATGGTTCCTGGCATATCTCTGCAGACCCAGTCAGGGAAGCGAAGGCAAGGCCACACTCGGCCACACTGCTTCAGCCGGCAGTGCTCGCCAAGAAGTTTACGTGTGCGGAGTATCAAGGCAGTGGCTTTTCAGCGGCTCCGTCGATTCGAGGAAGCGAGACAGGAGATCAGTGCACATCAAACGCTAGCCTCCTCTGAGCATCTATCATTCAGTAAAACGCTGTGATTTGAGGGGGATTGCTTGTGATTCCTCGATGGTGACCTAGTGCTTGTGCGCATGGTGAGATATGGCACGGGGTAGAAACTCTGCCCCTGCACGAGTTCAGCGGACACAGAGTGGCAAATGCTCGTCCCAACCGCACTTCTCAATCAAACGGAGGCACCGAGAGAGGAAGCCTCGGCAAGCACTGCGTGTAGTCTTCTTGCACGATTGCAACTCAGCAAACCTAGAACCTAGGGCCCTGTCAGCCATCCGGGATGGATTGTGATCCGTGTCTTGGTCCTCGCCAGATGGCACTCCAGCTCACTGTCTGCTAGGGCTGCTACTGGTAGGGCAACCAGGCAATTCAGGGAGCGTCTGCTCCAAAGCTTCATAGGCCACATGAGCTGCCTAATTAAACCTCATCCCAGTGATCTGGGACTCGTTGGGACTTAGTTGTTCTGCGATCGGCAAGGAGTACAGCATGACTGACGACACTGCGCTGGCCTTATGCCAGCAGAGCCGAGCAGCCTGGCAAGATTAAGGCACTTGAACGCATGGAGCAGCAGAGGTGACTCTCGGAGCTGAACCCCGGGCTACTGAAAGAGCATTGACTGCATTCGAGGCTAGACCTGGGGGCGCAAGAGCAGACATCTGCCATTCAAGCAAATTTGGTAATCCCAAGGTGTTGCCTCGGACAAGCCGCGCAGCTGCCCAAGCCGCCTCACGTATCCTCGCTGCCTGCATTCAGCCCTGTTCACCCAAAGCCATGGCCTCCGCCACGCAGCCCAAGAGAATCGCCGGCGGCGCCTACGGTCAGTTCATGAACGAGAAGCGGGCCGAGTTCCAGAAGGAGCTGCAGGGCCAGAGGGCTTCGGAGGTTGCAAAGCTCGGGGGTGAGCGCTGGAAGAAGCTCAGCGAGGCCGAAAAGGCAGTCTATCAGCAGAAGTACGAGGCTGCGAAGGAGAAGTACGATAAGGACCTGGAGGCTTTTGAGGCGGCCGGGGGCGTGAAGGAGAAGATCGCTCGCAAGGGCAAAGACGGAAAGGTAAAGAAGGCGAAGGACCCCGATGCCCCGAAGAGGCCAGTTGGCGGTGCCTACGGCGTCTTCCTCGCCGAAAACCGCGACGAGATCGTCAAGACCCTTCCGAAGGGCTATAAGATCACCGATATCGGCAAGGCAGCCGGTGCCCAGTGGAAGGCCCTTTCGGAGAAGGAACAGAAGCCTTATCATGAGAAGTTCCAGAAGAAGAACGAGGAATACAAGGCTGCCATGGAAGAGTACAAGAAGCTGCACGGCAAAGATGCTCCAGTGGACGATGACGAAGGGGAGGAAGAGCCCGCCAGCAAGAGAGCGCGCTTGGCGAAGGCGGGCTGCTGAGGTCCTGGGGGATGGCTATGCAATCGACGGTGTCAGAGCCGGAAGCTTGGGGTGGGCGCCGTCTGAGACCGCGGTTGCACGGCCGGTCTGGTGACGCTGCCAGCGAGCAGGGAATCAGAATTCCTATCCCTGCAGCTGCTAGCCGGATCCCTTGGGTCGGATAAGGCATCCTCTTCCAACTTCCTTGTCGCAATCTGGTGAGCACCGCACTCAAGCAGGAGCCTGTTCATAATCAGGAGTGGGGGCCTTATCTGTTCTGCTTTCCGCGGTAAACAATTGGTGTGGCTGAGACCACACTGTCCTGAACAGAATGGCAAAAAGTCGCTGCAGTTCGCTGTGTGAGTGTCAGCTTAACTCCACTCGGCATTCAGCCGGTTTCGCAGGATGCAATGCGATATCCACCGCTGTACGACCTGTCTGCTCTGGAACAGCAGCAAAGCATCTACACGCCTCCCGACTGCAACCAGAAACACACCCGAAACGCATGCACGCAATCATTGAGTTATGGTTGTTGCTAGGTCGGGTTGCTCGTCATCACCCGATTCCATTGCCGAAGTCCCAAACGTGACAGGTTCAACTCCTTGCAACGGAAGTTGTACCGTCTGGGACCTGGCATTCTTCGGCACAGGCTTCCATACCGATAGGACGGCGCAGTAGCCAGGCTCGACAGCAACCATGGCGAGCCTGCAGCGTGGATGCACTCTATTGCAATGTGCACACTCTGCGGAGGGCTTCTGCGGTCACGGCGCCATGTCATCTGGCCTCTGGTTCAGTTTGTTTGAGGCCAATGTTCCTACTTCCAGGCTCTGGTCACGAGAGAGGCGGAGTTTCGGAGTGCCCGTGATTGTCTCTGTGGGAACGTGACAGGCAGAGAGCAAGCGCAACAGGAGGCCCATCGGGGCCGAGCGTTGTCTGTCGAGGGTTTCCGAAGGATTGCCTCTCTGGCAGGTGCCAGTTGTTCCCATTTCCAAGCCGCCTGACAAATGGATCCGACACCAAGGTGGAAAATCGTTGCTTGTTCTCCGCATGCATGCTGCCTGCACGGTTCACACAGGATCTGGTGGACTGCAGCCTCCGGCGGGCGACAGGATCGCTTTGCCACACATTGTCGCAAACCGAATCCAAGCACAGCACTTCGAAGCAGGACTGTCGACCAGAGTGGTGACGGTTGTGACCGGGAAGGCTACCGCTGCTGACATGCAGAATTTCGAAGATGTTGGCAGAGGCGTGAGAAGATCCGTCAGTGAGTCAGGCAACACGGCAGCTGCCAAGGTCAGGATCCTGACTTCTTTGGAAATGTGTCCTTGTGCTAGCTGTCTCCCGCAAGGCTGCAATGCAGCTCACAGCGCTTGAGGCTGCCGGAAGTTAGAAGCATTTCGAATCTACAGCTCTTGACACGCTTGGAAATCAGCGAGCAGGCTAAAGTTGACACTCGCGAAGTTGCAGTTGAGGGATGCAAACCGCCAGCTTTGGACCCGAAGTGGTCAGGACCGACTGCAAGATGCAGTGTGCAACATGAGGCAGCGGACCAGGCCTGCTTCCAAGTCGCGCCCAGTCTGGATTTCCCACATCGTTCACATTGTTGACGATCCCTTATAGGACCTAGAAGTGACCGCAAGGCTGCGCCGTGGTCACGAAGTTGTGTGCAATCGCTCGACGACAAGCGAGTTCCAGGCTCGTGCGCTGCTCATTGCTAGTCACAGCACCCTTATGTTATGACATGACCCTGTCAGTTTTGCTTGCTTTGGTGCCATGTCTCATCCAGCACCCCCTCTCTGGCTTGGCAGCCCTGACAACTGACAAAAGTATGAAAACAAACACTGGATCTTCAACGTCTCGATCGTCTCGCTCCCTTTCTTCTGCTCTTGCATGTTCTTTCAAGTCATCTTCGGTGGGATCTCTGACTCATCGTCTAGCCACAGTTAGACTTGATACAGCTGTCCAGCAGCTGAGCCGCTTCAAATCTAAGATCCGCATGGCCAGGAAACCACTCTGGCGAATGCCGTGACCTTCCTTACTCCGCCAATTCATCCCGTGGCCTTTGGCCAAGACTCTGAGCCTCTTTCCTCCAACGAACCTGTCGGCCCGAGTCAGGAAATGTCACGCTGGTCTACCCTCACTGACATGGTCAGCCTCAGAAAGACGACGAAGGCAGCTGTTGGCTGTCTACGCAGCTCTGCAATGCTCTGCAGTCCGCTCGTCAGCATGCCAGGCCCGGCACGCAAGCAAGATCGATGCGATGAGCCTTCCTGGAGACGCTGCCATCCCCCTAACAGCTGATTTATGCGTGCGACCAGCATTCTAGCGGTGAGATTTGTTCGATGATGAGGTGCTCGAAGAACCCAAGCCTTTGGGAGGACTGGAAGGGCTCCGGTGCCATGCTTTCTCAATCAAACTCAGTTGTTGGGAGGCCCAGCGCAGCAGTCTGAAGAGAAGAGGGAGAACAAGGACGCCTGCTGCCAGCAAGACACATTCTGCGAAAAAACGCGCGGGAGACTGGATGAAAGAAAACCATGTCAAAAGGATTAGCATGAGCCCGTCAGGCCGACGCATTGGCCACATCCCCACCCCGGAAGAACCATGACGGAGATGGGGAAAAGGAAAGATCCCACTGCTAGGGTCGTCTGTGTCCTTCCATTGCAGACCCGCAAATGCACAGATCACATGGCTAATTAGATGGCGGGCACAGCCAACAAACGTGCGGCTTGACTGCCGTTTCATGTGTTGAGGGCTGCAATGCTGCTATATCAAATTGACATCTGTCCAGAGAGCATCACAACAATGACCTCGTTCTTTGGGTGGGATGTGCATGTATGTCTGGCTCTTCCTAGCGACCCTCAGGCTACTGCCGAAGGGCACACTCAATCCACACGCAAGAGTGTTTTGGCCAAGATCGCACTAACAGCTACGCGTTTCGTCCACAGGTGGGACTCGTTCAGGCAAGCGATCTGTAGCCGAAAGCCTCTGATGGCAGCACACCTCACAAGCACATGAGCTCATGCGAAGCGTTGAAACACTCGGTGACATGCATCATTTTTATGCGCACAAAAATCATGCAATGCACGCTGCAGGGTGGCGTCTGGAATCCACGCGGGCCAAGGCCTCTAGACAGCTCCCGAGGGTGGGCCATGTGCCCATGATACCGAAAGCTCCAACAGAAGAGTTGTGGAATGTTTGGGACAGCCTCGGGGCAGATCGGACCGTCTCGAGAAGCGCCTGCCACCATCCAACAGCATCGCATCATCGAGAAGCGCAGCCGGGATATGGAGCCTTCGTTGTTTGTGTCAAGGTTCGTGGCTTGTCAAGTTCGCTCGGTTGTTCCTTCGGGCCTCCCAACTCTTCAAATGTTGATCAGAGTACCACCCGCCGTTCTTGATGCTGATCGCAACAACCACTGAGATGATGCAAGAACTGTGTGCCTCGCTGCATGCTGCCGTCACAATTGCCGATGCAGGAGCGGCTTGAGGAGCCTCCACCGTCCAGTGAAGCTGACCAGGCCGATGCAAGCTCTCAGCACAGCAATAGTCGTTTGTAAATACTAGTATCTACACTCTGCAGCAACTAGGTTGAGAGGTTTGCATGCCGCTTTGGAAGGCCTGTGACCCGGTTTTTGAGGAGGCTGGGCCTTGTGTCAACTCGGCTCCACTTCTTAGACGAAGTCTGTCAAGCCAGTGACAATGTGTTTCTCGCCTAGCACAGCAGGAGGAGGAAGCAAGTGTCGCGCCAGATGTCAGCTACGACAAGCTCACCATGGACCGTCCAGCCCTAGAAGCAGCAGACTGGATGGAACGTGTCCTCTGCGAATCTGGATGTGCCGTTGCCGATTTGACAGAATTTCGCTATTGTCGGACGTTAGAGCCTTAGGATATCGAATCTTCCGGGATGTGCAACAGCAGGGAGGCTTCCCTCGCAAACAGAATGGCAAGCCATTCTGTGTACTTGCTGTTCGGCATAAAAACGGGCTCCGGAACTGCTAGTGACATCCTAGTCCCTCTTCGTCGCGTTACAGAAAGGCAAGGGGCTAAGTTTCAAGCGTCTGTGTGTCTGTCTATCCGTTTGTCCGTCCGTCTGTCCGTCCGTCCGTCCGTCTGTCTGTCTGCTCTCTCGGGCTTCTACTGTAGTGCAACGAAAAGCCAGCATGCAACCCCCACCAGTGCAGGACATGTCCAGCATATGCTGTGGCTGCTCTTCCTCTCAGAACTTGCGCAGCCCGCTCATAGCTTAGCGCAAAATCTCAGAGCACTGCGCCCGTGAGTCAAGTGATAAACGTCCGTTAATGTGGTTTTGACTGTTGGTTCTCTGAGGAGCAACTTGTGGCCAGAGGATCGCGAGACCCACAGCATCATGCCAGCTAGCCCCATGGCACATGGCTCAGAACTGGCACATCGGAGTCAGACAGAGTTGTTTTGTGCTCTTGTAGTGGAGGGATTCTGTCGTGCATCAATCCGAAATCCTGTTGCAAACGAATTGAACCTCCTTGCAAAACGCATTAGTCGTCTTTCTCAGAATTCGAACTGGAGCTTCGCAAATGCTTGGCAGAGCTTATGTACTGTCTCATGGCATCAGACAACCCGTTGGTCCTAATTATCATGATACGATACTGTTGTACTTTCTGCTTCCATCCTATGTACTGAGGTTTGTTGTCGTTTGTGAGCCTTTTGCTCAAATTGCCAGCATTTGCCTGAGGCCTTGCCTTCAGCGGCCCCTTTATTTTGTGCATTCAGCTCATCCTCCGGGCGGCCTCTTGGATCGCAACGCTCGAAGCAAGAGGCTGCTCATGCTCGATCCCTCTACAAATCGACCTGCCAACCTTGACAGTGCGCAGCCAGTCGGGGGGAGCCAGGGTGAAGTGAGCATCCCGACTGAGGCGATTTGTTGAAGCTCATACACACACACACACACATATATATATATATATATATGTATATATGTATATATATATATATATGTATATACGTACATACACACACACATGCATATGACGAGATCGGTCCGCATTGGAAGACGAAGACACTTGAAACGGTCAAGGTTGAGCACCGCTTCCTTCTACGAGCTCCTGTGTTTTCAGGCAATCGTCTTTTGGAGAGACGCAGAGAGTGAAAAAGAAAAGTGCTGACAGGAAAACTATGGCTCTGCTGAGTCGCTGATCTCTCTGCTGGTCCGGGAGCGCCGCCTTGCTCAGGCACCGAGGGACCCTTCGTGCGCCCTGGAACTCGTGAACCCCCCGCAGGCATGTCAGTACATCTTCAATGAAAAAGCAGACAAGCGCCTGCTCTTTTCTCGGACGGATCCACCCTTGCCTACGTTCGATGAGATCTTGGTTTGTTGAGGTTTGTGGACGTCGTCGCGCATCATTGCCTGGCACACAACCAGTTCCATGAGTTGCAGAAGGCATTGTTGGAGCTTTCTGTCGCGATGGTCAGAGAAAAGCCACCGGGAATGATCGCCAATGTAGGTGATCCTCGACTTCGACCCCTCACTTCAAAAAGTGCAGGAATACTTGAACTCCGTCAAGGCACACGCATTGGCTGGCTGCTGTTCCACTTGTACTTGCACTTACCTTGTCAGGAATTTCTGCGCGACAGACGTGCACTGGACTTGCTGTATTCCTACGAAGTCTGCACCTTACAACAGCTGCGCACGTGGCAGTTGCAGGTTGAATCATGCCCTGTCATGGCCGGGCATCATGGGTTCCGGGCCCCGGAGGTCTTTACCAGGAACTTTGTCAATGCGGGTTTCCTCGCCATCTCGCCTGGGCTCCTGTGCTCGAAGTGCCCTGAGAATCTGGACGGCGGAATTGTCTCGAGGCTTTTCGTGCAGTCGTCCACCTGGGATGCCCGGGTCCATTCCTCAGCTCGAAGACTTGATCCGAGCTGGCGGAGAGACAAAGAGGCTGCAAGGCATCGCAAGCGCAAGTTATGGAGCTGGAGGTGGGGCACCTCCAAAATGCAGAAGCTCACCTTGGGTTTGCTCACCGGAAACTCTTGAGCCGAAAGTGCAGCTCTCAGACACAACAGAATGCAGCAGCAACTAGCATCAACTAGCTATGCTTGAACCTGTGCCACCAGCGAGGAAGGGGGAGGGGAAGGACGGCCCAGAACTCAGTGGACTCTCGCTGTGCATACAGTGGCGATGACTCGAGGGACTAAGCGCCAAGGAACTGGTGATGGGACTTCAGAGAATCCCAGCGCCGCAGCGCAGGAGAGCATGACGGCGCCAAGGGCTCGGCACAGGACTGCAGGCTTGGAGCCGTTACCAGTACGAGCCAATATGCAGGTCGGGAGACGCTGTCAGTCTGGAAGCCAAAATGGGGATCGTCCTGAGCCTAAAAAAGAGGGAGAGCCAATCCCACGGGGTCGGGGCTGCAGCTCTGAGGCCGACATCAAGAGGAACCTCGAAACCGTCCGGATCCAACGCGCCGTCTGCGAGGCAGGGCCTTTCTAGTAGCCGTTCGCATTCCTGGTCTTTTGAAATGCTTCCGTGTCAGGCGATGCCCACGAGCATGCCTCAAAATGCCGTGCTCTTCGGTGACCTCCCGGCACAGTGCGAGGCAGGGCCGCCCTTTCCACACGAGCTGCAGCCTGCTTTGGCTGCATGTCGACGAGGGCAGGACCCTGCCCTCCCCAGTTTTGGCAATCTCACGTAGCGAAACGGTTTCAGCATTCCTTCATCAGTTAATCTGGACGAGATGTTCGCAACAATGAGACTAGTCAGAAGCTGGACACCCATGGGGATGTGCCACAGTCACAAGCAGATGCTGCCGACGTCGTTGCAAACGAAAGTGAGTCGAGATCTGCAGCGCGATCCAGTGCCTCAAAGCAACTGTGCCTTGTTCCTTGCCTGGCTTGGGACAGTGACAGGTTGCAGAGCTCTTGATGGTCAACGGGCATTTCAAGCTGGCTCTAAAGGCACCATGCCGCACTACTTTCTTGCACTGTCTTGAGTTTAATGAACCTGTTGTAGCTGCGGGGCTATTTGTGTGCGTGCAGCTTTCATTAGCTCATGGCGTGCAGAGCTCATGTGCAGGTAATCGAATTCCTGGATTTGCCTGCAGTGGAGCTTTGTATTCGTGCGCCGATTCGCTTAGTCAGTTTC